TCCATGAATCCAAGAGGTGTTCTCAAGGATTACTACCTTCCAAAGATCCAGAGTCACTCCCAAAGATAGCCAAAAGAAAGAACCAACAGCCTGCATATCCCAGGCAGACAGAAAGCCAAGCCAAGACCTTAGTACACAAAACAAGACAAGGAAAAAGGCAATAGCCATCCCTGGGAGAAAAACAGTCAATAACAAATGGGTCTGGATTTGGAAAGGAAGGCACAATGTGAAATTTTATTTTCCTCTCTTGACTGGCACTATGCAATGGCCATTGATCTTTCTAATTCTTTTCTGCACTTGGTAGGATCTTCTGAAAGTAAAGGTAAAAAGGCTTTATAATTCAAAAGATCTGTTGTTGTCCCAGGGACGTGAATTCCCTGGGTGGGCATCTAGGATATAGCCACAAAAGACATTGCAAAGGAAGGCCTGAAGCTAGTAGAGCCTGATTTTAGAATCCAGCAAAGCAAGCCCTACTTCCTGTTCCACGTGCTTCTGCTAAATTCATTTTCTGGCCTTCAGCATTTACATGTAACCTGTACAATTTTAGAGATTAGGCTGGAGTGCTCTCTGCAAATCTTGTAGGAAAAAGGAAGCTAAAACAGGCAGATAGGGCCAGATTTTAAGAAGGGGATTTTACATTGGATTTTTGTTTTAAGTCTAAATTTTTGTTCTTTCATTTTGTTAAGGAGTCCCTAAGTCTAGCTGTTATATATATATTTTTTCCCTTTTCTTCTTAAGTTCCAGACAACTGTATTTCCAATACTCTGGTTTTTTCAAATGTCTGAAGGCAAATAGAAAAGGATCTGAGTGGACTTTGATTTTTGTTCTAATTTTTGTCCTTCTATCTTAGTAAGGGAGTCTTAACGGCTAGCCATGAAACCAGTATGAGCACTCTCTAAAAAAATTTTTTCCAATTTAGAAGTTTTTCCCATTTAAAGGATTCATCATCTGCCCATTGATGAGTAGGATCTTAATAGAGACTCAAACCAATAAGCCTTTTTATGGCTTAACCATGGAGGCAGGAGGCATCCCCAAAAGGGAGCACAAAGGATGCAGCCCTCCTAAGATACAAAATGTACACCCAGAGTTAGACCAAGAAAGTAAAGACAGTAACTATGAGGGGCCCTGTTTTTAAACAGCCATTCCAAAATACAGGGAGCTGTGTGTTTCCCTACCTTTTGAACAGAATAGTGTGATTTTTTAGATTCCCTAAGCCCCGATCCAGAGCCTACTTGGTCACCCGCCAGATGCATATGCATCCAGTGGCTGGCAGAGACAAAAGAAAACAATGACCATCTCTCAGAACAACAGGATCAACAGAAAACAAGAGTACTCATCCCAAATCTTTACCGGAGTTGACTTTTGCCCAAGAAACTAGTTTCACAAATATTTTCTCCTGCTAAGCTAAATCTAGAAAAGAGACAAAAAGATTCTTACCACTTACACTTCCAATAAACCCTGTAGCAGGCAGAGATCTGGCAGACTGACGGGGCCAGACTCTTACCTTCTGTGGGCACTTGTCAGATGTCCCAGGATCTCTCAGCTGCAGCAGCATCAGAGGGAACAGGGTTCAGCCAGGGAAGTTTATCCTGCCAACTGTGTCAACTGTGGGGGAAGAATAAATTTTACTCTACCCTTCTAGGTTCTTCTGGCTGGTCTAAGAATTAAATTGAAGTGAGACAGATTAATAGGAGAAAGTTACATTTAGTTGCGTGCCTACGGAAACCTCTCATGTATGTGGAGTCTCTGATCCTCTCACGTACGTGAGGTTCCCATAATCTGTCTCATGTCAATTTAATTCTTAGACCAGCTAGAAGGACCTAGAAGGGTAGTGGGAAATGTCTTCCTCCCCCACAGCTTCCTACTGCTCACTGGCCCTGTAAAAGTTTGCAGCATTGCACTTGAAGAATCTGAAGCATTTATTGAATGAAGGAGTGGAATGCCACATTTCTGTAAACTTTTTTCTATGCCATGAATTAGAATTTCTCTCCAATTGTTTTAAATTATGCTCAAGGGGAATGAGCTTTATTTCCTTGATTCCCATCATAGTCCATATGGAGATCTTAGGGGGGTGGGACATTCCCGTACTGTAATTTCACGGCTTTACTGGCAGTGGTCTTAAAGATGTCCTCTATGAACATATTTTGCAATTCACTGAACTCCACCCTCTTATTCTGCTTTTGCTTTTTCCTTCTCTTTCCAAGATTACAAAATATAATCAGTAAATGATATTATTTTTGTTTTGGTTTTCATACCGTGTGCCAAAAAATTGCATTTTGCCACAAAGTCTTGCTATCAAATCTAGTCTTTTTAAAGTATAATCAGATATATGATCTCTTAGAACTTTCTTCTCTTCCTCTTTCTCTCCTCTGTCCATATCCACTTGACACTTCTCCTACCTTTTCCCTGTCAGCTGAGACTGAACGTATCAGATGAGATCGGGCACGTTCAGGGTGATATGGCCGTGGACAAGACTGAGCATCTCAAAAGGATTTAAAATGCCTCCTCTTGTCCTCTGACAGATGTTCAAAACTCCACTTAGGAATCTCATTTTTCAATTTAAAGTTTGTGTAATAGTGACATCACTAAACCACTGTGCCAGCTTAGATCTTAAGTTTGTTCACTGCGGTCTTAATCCAAATCAGATGTAGGGTTCTCTCCATCACGTCTTTAGGTCTCTAGTAGCTACTTAGGCTTGTGGGAATTGGAAGATTGTGGAAAAGCAACTAAAAAGGAAGCTGCCTCTGCAAAAAAACAGTCTTGCTAGGTTTTCAGCCAGTGGCTGGCAGGTGCAAAAGGAGCCACTGATCAAGAGATGGGGGGTTGGCATTCATCCGTGAAGGCAAAGCATTTGACTGATGTCTTCTGAGCCCTTGAAAGGAACTTTTATCAGTGTATCTTCTCTCAGCTTCTCAAACACATCCTGGGTAGTATGTACTGGGAGTCGGGCAGGGAGTGCCTACTAATCTTAGACAACTTCCAAGATAAGAGTTCATAGGTTTCATTCTCCTCTGTTCTTCCACAATAGAATTAAACACCCCCTCAAAACCAGAACCTACATCATGAGGCACTGTTTTCCATTAGCATTATGATAGGGAGGACAGGGTTTCCAAACATTGTGCAGAGGTGAAGGGAAATATTTGTACTCTGCATGGAGAGTTGGGAGGGGGAAAAAGAAATCCTCCACCCTAGATTGGGTTAATCCATCAAAGCAATCATTACATTTTCATGTGAAAACAAGTTGAACATTCACACCCTGCTATACTTGGAGGTTCCTTAAAATGTAAATGGACAAAGAAGGGTATCAGTTAGTTATTTGACCTAAGTAAAGATTAATTTCCAACACTTTCTTTACAGTAACTTTTGATAAATGAGAACTAGGGAGCATTGGATACTTTAGAGAGATGCAGAAAAGGCATGGCCAGAGAATGTGACCAGGCAAAAGAATGGAGAAGGCTGTGATGGTTTTGCTAGAGCCTTGTGCAAGTAAAGTTATATTTACTTCCTAAACCGCAAACTTAAAATAATATAATTCCTCTTTCCAGAGAAATACCATAGTTTGTTCCTTCTAACTATCTATTCATCCTTTTCTCACTGACCATGCCTATCTTCTCCACAGTCACACCCACCTGGTCTAGACTATATCCTCTTTTGCACCAAACTTAAACTCTCTGACCCTATCAGTGAACTGGGACACAATTCCCTCATCTCTCATTTGCCATGGACCCAAAATAGAGATTTTGAACCCTAATAACTTTATGCATACCTCAATGAGCATCCAGTAAATTCTGTACCCTCAGCCTACATCCCCACAACTGCTCTTTTGAGCAGAGACGAGACCAGGGCAAGCCTTCAATGTTCAGTGCAAAGAAGCCTAAGGGATTCGATGCTAACTTCAGACCAGAGCGTGTCCAGAAAGTTGATTTTTTCAAAGGATTCCAATATCACTGGAGAGAATAAGAAAGCATGGGAAAAATAAACATGATGGAACAAATGGGAAGCAGTTTGGCAGCAAGAGTAGAGATGCTAAGTAGCAAAGAATGACCTATAAAAAAGAGAAGCAAAAGCTGCCAAAAAATGGCTGTCAATCATCAGGAAAGGTCACTAGCATCAGAGCACTAAGGATATTACCAGACAAGTTATCCAAGGACCCTACACAAAAGGAGAGGAAAGTTTGGGATATTTTAAGACATGGTGACCTTCCTATGATAATTATTACCTATTATTTTGATTATCTTCAAAATTAGAGTGGTTTGGGGAAGCTAGGGCCATATTTTTATTAACTTGATGGCTATCTACCCACCCACATTTCTCTCAAAACCTCAAGGATTTGTGGTCTGGGGAAATTTGTGTTATAATAAGATAACCCAAAGCTGCTGGAATGTCCTAAGGCTCTGAAACAGAACTACTTTTCTGGAAGCTGATGTATTTACCTGCTGACCACAATAAACCAAGGACTGCCAAGAGACCCCACCCCGGGACAAAAGCAGATAGAGAGTAAAGAAATCCTACATCACTGAAGATGGCTTAGGATTTGCCAAACTGTGTACACATTTTGTTTTAAATTTTCTGTACAAGCTTGGCAATTTTTAGGGAAAACTAAAGTAACATTACCAGGGTCAAGTTCAAGATTAATGCTTACAGCCAAACCCCATACTCCTTAATTGAATTACTGCAAATAAGACATTCAGTGTTTCTCTAAAAATTCCTACTAAAGCTTTTTTTTTTTAATTGCTGCTGAATCTGCACCAAGTTAACACAAACTTCCTAATAGAAAAGTGCCTGTGACAGACAGAATAAATGAACCCCTTTCCAAGTAAGTGAATTTTAAAATGTAGATGATCATTCTATATCCTTAGGTTTGGTTGCCAATGCAAATGAGTCAGAGGATTTGCTTCAGACACTGAGTTAATTGTGTAACTCCACAGCGGAAAATGCCATTGGAGAGTACTCGCTGACCTCACAGTTGAAAAAACCATTTAAAAGATGTGGAAACCAGATGTTTCAGTCACATTTCAGCCTCTGCTCTGAGAATTTATCCTGAGCAGCCCCTAACAAACAGGCTATTACTTCTCTACAACTGAGATATGATTATCTTTATTTACTTATTTGTCTTGCTGTGGGAAGAGGCTCACGGATGGGGATTCAAGAACGGAATTTTTCATAACTCCATATGGCTTGGTAAGAAACTTCACTCACGAGCTTCTTGTTGGGAATGTCATTTCTTTGAATTCATGAAGAAGTGAATCAAAGTAGTAAATTTTTCTGTTCTGTTCAAGGCTGATGTTTTCAAAGAAAATGCTTAGAAAAGATAGCTATTGGAATGCTTATACCATTTTTCACAGTGTTGCTGACTTCCAAAATTTAAAAATAGCTTTTTATAGAGTGAACTGTTCTGCAGAAAATAGAGGTTAATATTTATATTCCATATGAAAATATATTTTAAAATTCTCAAAGCAGATGTGGTATAGTGGAGAATGTTTCTTTAACAAAATAAAAACAGCAATCTATTACTTTGTTTTTATTTTAATGCGTTTGCAGTCAGATTTCCTAACAGGTAATCATAACAGAATCATAACAGGTAAGTCGGAATACACAATAATTTTATAATCATCATTGCTCCACATACTCTGACCTGTAGTGTATATTTTGCTTTTTGCAAACATCTTTTAACTAGTTTGACAAAGCCAGCTTGTAATACAGAAAAAAAATGAAAAAGGCTTATATTTCTGAATGCATTCTTACCACTTTGATTCTTTTTGTTTGAGCCATCCATATAAATACTTTTCTACCCCCTTTTGTTAGACAAGGAAAGTTTCTTTTGTCATTTTGTTTTGTTAAATATAAGGCATGACATAGGCCTAAATGTAAATATAAACAATAGACCAAAAAAGGCCAAATACACAAAACCTAAAATACCCCATAGAGTAAACAATGCTTTAATTCTCATGATACAAATTAATATTGGTTTATGTTCATTATTGTGTTTGATAGTGAAAAAGTTTTCACTATTGCTGGAGAAGAAAACTGACAGATTCTTGTATAAAACAGAGAAAGCAAAATTAACCTAGATCTTGGTTTTGTGCTTGCTAAGCAGCACACAGTTGTAGAATATTCTCTCTTTCATCATATTTCTCTCCAGTCATAACTGCAGCCATGTGGATTTCATTAAAAAGCTGGATTTGCAATGCACAGCCTTGTCGCCTCTTTTTTCAGCCTGAGCCAGTGAACTAGTTTCGTGCTGAACAGTGAGATCCATTTGGCCAAGATGGGGTCTGCAATTTACTAGAGGAAGGAGCAAGTCTCTTGGTTTAATTTCATTGCACACTATCAAACTTAGGAAATATACACCTATTTGTCAGAAATGAAAAAATTATCATAAAGCTAGTAAGAATTAAACCCATATGGATAAACTTTGAAATGCTCTAATGATCAAGTAATTTGGAGCTTGTTGTCATTTAAGTGATGTTGAATATTCCACAAATATAAATTTGGACAATAGAAGTTCTATCCTAGAGGTAGAAAGGAGTAAAACCAAAGGTTTGTTAATAGTATGCTGCAAATCTGAGGCCAGAGGTAATTGCAAATTGCTTCAATCTGGGACAAATTATTGACCAGTCAGCCTAGCACAAATTGTTTACAGTTGGTTAGGTCCATATAGTATCAGAAACTATTTAGGGAGGAAGGAGAGTTGGATGAGAAGGCAGGACTCTGCTAGCAACTATCAAGAACAAGGCACTTTAAACTCTTGGTCTCAGGGCCACACCGGTAAAATGAGAGGGTTAACAGAGGGGATCCCTGAGGTTTTTTTTAACTCTGGTGTCCTCTAATTCCTTAAATAGTAACTTTTTTTAAAAAAAGACACTTAAGAACAAAAGACTAGTTTACATGGATTATGAAAATCAAAAATGCACAGACAAGCAATACTTTTTAGCCATTATCTGAAAAAGGAGAAGGGAAAAGTAACATTATCATGAGCTCCTACTTAGTTCCAGAAGCTATGCTTATAGGTTTTAATGGTTTATTTATCCCCAAAGTAGCTATCATTATTCCCATTTGACAGATGAGGAAATCGAGACTCAGGCAGTAATTTATGCAAGGTCACACAACTCGTCCACTGTAGAACCAGGAGCAGAAACCACAGCCAACACGCTACTGTCGCTACTTGCTAAAAGGAAAAAAAATATTGGTTAAGTAGCTTTTCAGTTTTAATGAATGACTGTTAACTAGAAAAATTAATAAGTTATTATTTCTTCTGAAAGGCAAAACTTCTAAAATGAGGACTCATGGTACAAAGGACCATCTTAGTAGTTTAAAATTCTGAATTGAGGAATACTTTAGTACATACGCCAAGAGTTCTCAACTTGTTCATAAGGCAAGATAATGGGAAGTTAGGTGTTCTTTCAGGAACAATGTGGAATATTAATGTTATTTAATAAATTAAAAATTATAGCATAGACATTCCTGATATTTACTTTACTATTTTATTATTAAACAATTTTCAACAGGTACCAAAAGTTTAAGAAAAATTACTGGGAAGAAAAGAAAGTTATTTAAAAAAAATTTCTCTCAATTTATTTTTTTCCTGCAAATATTTGTTAAAAGATAAGCTGAGGCATATTATAAATTTTAAGAGTTTATTTGAGCAAAAACCAATTCGAATCAGGCAGCATCCAATCTAGCAGATAGAAGGAGCTCTGAGGAATTGTATGAATGAAAGACGTTCTTAGGCAGAAGGGAGCAGGAACAAGGAAGATACACTAGACAAAGAGGTGGGTTGGTTATTGCAAGTTTACTTTTCCTTCAGCGGATGGCAGGGGTCTCTCAGACTGATTACCTAACTAGTGCTGATCAGGTGATTTCTGACTGACTGGTTTGAGGTTCCATTTCTGGGACAGCCAAAACTGTAATTACGTCAAGTCTTGGTTTGGTGGGGCTTAGCATGAGCTACTCCATTTGGGGCCTGTAGTCTTGTTTTTAGCACATCATACTTTGATCTTTGAAGTATAATATCAAGGAAATCTTAGTATGAGAAACCTTGGCAGGCATAAAAATAATTCCTATAAAATTTTTTTCTAATAGAGTATTCTCGGGGAATAGATATAATTTTAATGTTTTAATAATTAACAATAATCTCTGTTACAATACATATGTAAGTTGAACATGTCTTCCTTCTCTACTAAAAGCCTCAGTATTCCTGTACTTCAAAATAGAGGTACTTACATTGCCCACTAGTGTCCAGGTTGCTTGAGAACAGGACTTGATCCACAGCACCTGGCAAAGTACCTCATGGTATATCGGTAAAACAATCAAATTGGAAACTAGCGGAAGTTTAGTTAATGAAGCTTTACCATATGAAGGACACTTGGGCAGCAGATGACTTTCAAAAAAGAGGAAAATGACTTTGATGTTCCTTGTGTTTCTCTGACCTGTAAGCATCAGATTGACTAAGGTCCTCAGTGTATAACTGATGGGCCTTCTTACCGTACAATGTAAGATTAGGATCCCTTGGAGTTCAGAAAAAGAGGAAATATGCCAAGCAACATCTCCTATTGAGCTGTGGCAGAGTCAACTTCAGCTTGGCGAGAAGAGCAAGGAATGATATTTCTAATACTGCTGGATTCAAGTCTTATTGCATGCCAAGGAATACGTGTTCTCATTGAAAATGGTCTTGATGGTGGTTGATTGCACAGGTCAGGGTACAAAGACTTCACCATAATCTGACAATCTATGTAGAACTATTAGAACTATGTTATGATTAGTGTCCTGGGGATCTTTTCACATTGTTTCTATGGCAATATACACTCCAAACTCAAAACAATCGGCTTAAACAGTGATCTATTGAGAGACAACTCATGTATGACTTAACACTACCTAAAATAAGTTGGGAACAAATGTGAACTAAAAAAGACAAACCAGATAAAGAACTTAGAAACTGGTAGTTAGGTGTGCCAAAGCTTTTTCTCTTCTGTATTTGAATCTATTTTTCTTTTCTTTAATGCAATATTTGTTTGCTTGGATTCCTTCAAACTTTTCCTCAGTTTTTGATTTGTTTACTAACTTCTCAATTACATTGCGTTAGTCATTTTCCTCAAATGGCTAATTTGGCTTATTTTTCTCCATCATTGTGAGCCTACATAATGGATCAATTTTCATCGGTTTCTTTTGCCTTCACCTCCTTTTTTTCCCTATTGCTTACCTTTCCAAGTTTTTATATGACTTAAAGCCAAAAAAAAGTCAAAACTTTGTCATCTTTGGATAAGTGTAGAAATAAAATGTTGTATTAAAACTTTCTTTCAGGCTATCAGTTCAGAAATATAATTTAGCCTCAAGTTTCTGTCTATGCCCCCAAATTCCCCTAAAATTATCCTTATTCATATTTTTTCCCAAAGCTTTCTAATAATGAAAACTTAGCCACCCCAGGCAGCTGACCCAGGGAACCCTTTGGCAGGAACATTAGCTGATGTAATCTTCAAGCTGAGGCAACAAAATTTCCCTTGTTCCACAACAATGGATAATAGTGCATTTATGACATTTTGTGAATTCACAGAACAAGCCGCAGGCGTATACCACAGAGAAGCGCGATCTGGCAAATACAAGCTCACCTATGCAGAAGCGAAGGCCGTGTGTGAATATGAAGGTGGCCATCTTGCCACCTACAAGCAGCTAGAAGCAGCCAGAAAAATTGGTAACTAATTTGATGATGATTTTTCTTCTTTTTCACCCTTAGGGAAAAAGAAAATCCCACCTTTCCTGTAACCCCTTAATAAGACTTCTCTCTCTACCCCTATTAATAGTAAGCCCCTATGACATCTCTGCCCTCCAGCTTGTCCCATCTGCTCTGCCTAGAGCTGGTGGAAAGTTCCTAGTACAAGCAAATTATTTAGCGTCACAACTCATTGTGAGCTAATAAATAAAAGTCAAAAGAAAATGAAGACATCATTATCTTGATATCATTTAAATTCCTCATTAATTTTAATGCCATTGCTATTCATTTTTAATATTGTTCTAGCTCTTGTTAACTTCTGGGTATGGGTTTCCTCAGCTGTTAAGTGATGTTACTATGTTGAGTCTTACAAGAAAATTATACTTGGTAGAAGAAATATTGAATTTAGTGGGGGTTTTTTTTCAATTTTTTCTTTTTTTTTACATTAAGTGGGAAAATGAATTTGTACTTTAAGATCAAAAGCTATGAGGAGAAGGAGGATAAGCAAGTTGTAAGATGGCAGGGGAAAGAAACTGGGAAGATGATGTCAGGAGACCTGGTGAAAAACCCAGCAATTAACTGGTGCTATTTGCTTCTTTATAACAAAATGAGCTGCTATCATCTCTTCTAGATTTTCAGAAGAATCCAAAAGGCCATCCTCATTTGGAACTCTCTTCTCCATTGAAGATACCCCTTTGCTTTTAAGAAAACATTTGGCAAAGCTTATGCTATTATTATACATTACCCAAGACAAAAATAAAGGTGTTCTCTAAAAGGCACCAAAGTCTCCCCAGATGACTGCTCAGTCTATACCCACAGGGCTGAGTGTGACAGTAACTGGAATGATAGATACAAAGGCCAGAGCCATTACCAGCCATCTTGGACTTCCAGTAAAATCATTCTTGAATGGCATTGGCAAAAATGAAAACAGCCTCCAAAACTGAGCAAGGAAAACAGGGCTGATGCTTTGTTTGAAATTTATAAGTGCCTTCGTCCCTAATCAAGTTTTTTTAAATATTAGCAATATCTTAACTGATCCTGAAATAGAAACTAATTAAATTATCATTCGAATTTTCTTTTCCAGGATTCATGGTAATTTCAGAAATTATCTCATGGCACTAGATAGGTCATTTGTGAAAAAACACCAGCTCTGAACTTGGATTGTTTTCATATCCATGGCATTATGATTTTTAGTCCATCTGCTTCTTTTTTTTTTCAAATAAGATGTCATTTTCAAACTTTATTTTTTAAGAAAACAGTTTTTCCTCTTTCACATGAACTGGATTTGGGCAGTCAAGAAACCGTCACTGGTGGAAGGGGCCATCTTTGTTAAGATGAACTTCATTCAGCTCAGGGAGTTTACCATTTAAGCCCATAACCCTTTCATTCTCTTGCAGGATTTCATGTCTGTGCTGCTGGGTGGATGGCCAAGGGCAGAGTTGGATACCCCATTGTGAAGCCAGGGCCCAGCTGTGGATTTGGAAAAACTGGTATTATTGATTACGGAATCCGTCTCAATAGGAGTGAAAGATGGGATGCCTATTGCTACAACCCACATGGTTTGTTAAAGATAATAATTTTATACTTTGCAAAAACAGTTGCACATTACTAAGAGGTTGTTAAAGAGAAATGGCTTATTCTTCCAGAGATAAATCAATTTAATAATGATAATATTAATAACTACCATTCATGGAGTGATTATGCTGTACCAGACACTGACTTACATTCCTTCATCTACACTGTCACTTGATATTCACAACAGCTGCAAGGAGCTATTGTTATACCTTTCTTAGAAATTAGGAAACTAAAAATTTGAGCTTAAGTAACTTACCCAAAATCAGACAGCCAATAAATAGCAGGCAGGTAGCATTGCAAATTCAGGCCTTTTCTGTGTCAGGGAACTTCCTGACCACAAAGGGAAAAAAAAGCAGGTTATAAACTTGTCATAGTTAATTAGCTAAAACAATAAAGTGATCCTACCAAATGTTAACTGTTCAAAATTATCCCTTTGATACAATGGGAAAAAGGAGACAGAATAAACTAACCCTTTCCCTAATTCTATTGTGCATAAACTCTTAAACATCCAAACTAAACAACTCTCACTCTGTGGTTTAATAATTATATACTGGATATACTAGTTACTATATAGCATATTTTTTGCATATTCTTTTTCCATGGCTTATTGTAGCTGGGAAAATGTTAAAGAGAAAATTAACCCATTATAATTACTGTAAAGAGTTATTTTTTGTTCATGTTCTTGGAGAAAAAATAGACTTTTCTTTTTGGACATATTTTCCCCAGGATATTAAAAAGTGTTACAATGTGTTACAAAATCTTTTCCACATTTATGATCATAAACATCCTCAGGTTGTGTCCGATTTGGATCTACCTTATAAGAAAGTCCATAACACAACAGAAGTGTTACAGTGAAGTTCTAGCATATTATTATAGAATTTATTATTTAATGATATTAACCACTGGAGAACAGTTTCTCATGTTTGTAACATATATCTCAAAATAATATGTATTCCAAGTAGAAAAGAATTTTGCCTAGAGCCATCACATATTCCCACTTAAGACAAAATATGAATACTTAGTGCATTTATATAGGACTATAACTTTCAAATCACTTTGACATATTTTAAGCCTAAATGATAACATATTTAGTCCTATATTTAGTCATTGTTAATAATTCATATATTTTATTTTCCTCCCTCTCTTCCTTTTTCTTCAATATATTTATTCAGGCAATTCTCTATTTACTCTCAAGAGTAACTTTTATTTCCAAATATATTCTCTGATTCTTCATTTGCTTGATAAACCTTAGGATCTCTGAGCATCCATTCAATTATTTTCATAGGTCAAATTCTAGGGGAGATGAAGAAGTACTATTGTAAAGGTTCTTACGGCATTTGATTGCCCTTTTATAAGAATGCCACCTTAACTTACAAATTTTTATAAACTGCTTTTGTTTCTAATAGAGATTGAATACTTTTTACTCTGGGAATATGTGTACAGAATCCTGGGAAACTTGTTGTTACTCAAATCTCAGCTTACTTTTGGATTCAATGATATGCTGATTATTTAGGATATGGTTAACCTAAAGGTGACTGGGGACTGCCTGAACTATCATTGGGAGTTCACTGAAAAATAATTGGAATGAAAAAATCATAATAGTATCAGAAAAATTAAGCAATGATTATTCACTAATCAATATCACCACATTAGAGTTGATTGAATTAAGAATGAAGAGGGTTTAGAAGTAAACTTGCTCATCAAGTTCTGAATGTGTGATGTGATGTTGACTGCCTTTTGTATAAATACCTTTTAGCCAATTAACAGTTCTCAGGGACCCAGCCAGCTTTGAGAATCTGTCATTTTCTAAATAAGCAAGAGACGAGGCAATAACTGTGTGTAACATAAGATATAGAGCTGAATAGATATAGCCAGATGACATAATTAGTTCAATATTTGAATTTTTTTCCTAATCTAATGATACAATACAACAAAGATAGTATGCTATGGGACAGAGCAAATCACTCCAAAAGCTGGCACTGTGCATGCCTATTTACACATATAAACTATGTATTATATAATATTTAATAATACAATAAGGTACAATATACAATAATACAATAAACTTACATTTTGCATAAGACCCTTAAGCTATGTTCTATATTTTATCCTCAGAATAATTCTGTGAGGGAGGGAATAGGAGAGGCATGATTATATTTATTTTGCTGTAGGGGAAGAAGAAATTTTCCTCTACTTTTCTAGGTTCTTCTGGATGGTCTGAGAATTAAATTGACATGAGAGAGACTAACAAGAGAAAAATAAAATTTAATAATATATATACATGGGAGAGACCCAGGAACACTGAGTAACTCACCAAAATGGCCAAAGTCCTCACCTTAAATACCATTTCAGCTAAAGACAAAAGAGGTTGTTGGGAGAGTCAGTTATGGGAGATTATCAGGAAAAGCACAGTAAACAAGAGTAAGATGGTTATGCAAATTTAAGTTGTTGCCTTCTCCATTGATAAGAGTTTCTAGAGATTCAGATATCCTCCTCTTCCTGGTGAAGCAAGGGAGACACCCTTACTAATGGAAATTTCCCTTATAAATGTCTATACAAAGGGTGATTTGTATTTGTTTTTCAGAGCTACTCCCATGCCTGCTATTTCTTAAAAAATAACTGGCCTAAAATAATTCTTATGCCAAAGAGATATTTTGGGTGGCAAATTCTGCTCCCCTTCAGTCCCGCCTCTAGAACTTCCCCAGGAAGTTTCACAGTCCACAGGCTAGTTGATGGATTGTTCCATATCTCATTGAACCAGTCATTCAGTCCTGAGAATAGGTCAGTTCAGTTAAAATGTGTCTCATTTTAGGAGGTGGTGATGCAGCTGGGCTGCCAAAGTTAGGTCTATCTTGTGCAAGAAACCAGATATTTAATAAGAGACATTTCCACAGAAATAAAATAAAAACAAAGGTTAATGACTGAGCAAATTGTAAACCAGTTTCTGAGTTCTGAGGGTAGCCAGTCAAGAAGATTTCTAGCTATCAGAGTCAAAGCATCTTTTGCAGTTTGAAATGTCTCTGATGATGTCATCAAGTGTTTAGGCAAATTCTCTGAGTGGCTTACATAGCATCAGGCACAAAGATTGTCCAAACATAGATTATTGTGGTGACCTCTCCAAAGTCTATATCATATCACATCATTTACATTCAGTTTGAAAGACTTAGGAAAAAGGGCAGGTTTAATTCTCAAGGATTCCAAGTCAAAAAGTGGGAGAAAATTGGAAACATTAGTTTGTAGAGTTGTAGCCAAATATTTGAGAAAACTAGAAGAATTCAGGATCTAGTCCAGTCCAGTTTACAAGTGAAAAACAAAACCCCAAAAGGCAATGAACAGCTCTAGAATCTAACATCCATAAGTGTATTATATTTTCTACTGAAACATAATTTTTCTCTGTAAACTCATCCTTAATTTTATCAAAGATAGACAAATTAAGACTAATTTGTTGCAAAACAAGTTTAGTTTCAATAAACTTAGCCTGATTATTTACATAAATGCAGCAAGAAGAGCAATTGATCATATAGGCTCTTTTAAATCTACTTTGCTGGAACTTTTCATAAGGAATCTCCACATTGAACTTTTAATAGCCTCTTGAGACTAAGAAGACATGCCAACGAGTTGCCATCAGACTTTGCCTGCATACCTGTAGATTTGGGCAAATTCCTCTCTTCTTGAGGTCCCCCACAATATCCTGAGATTTCTGCACCTCCTAGGAAGTGACCTTCCTTACTCACCTGGTAAGGCTGCTGGAAACCTTGTAAGAAAGGTACCAGGTTATTTTTTTCAAGGGGCTTTATTGGCTCCATAAAGTCAATCTTAGTTCCTTAAAGTTGTTGGGTCATATCTGAGTCTATCCATGTCTCTCTCAAATATGACATTCCAGTCAAAGCCTTGGTAATATAACCAGTTTCCAATTGTATCCTGTTACAAGGAGAAAATATTCTTATTGAACTTATATAAATAACTATATTGCAATGAAAATAAGAATACTCACTAAGAGTTTCCAAATTCTGGAAGGGTTATGTCGGGAGAAAAATTGTTTCATCTTTATTCACAAAGGTATATATTTTACCAAATTGCTCTCAGTCATAGGTAGCTTAAGAGAAAAAGTTTCCTTAAATCTGGAAAACAAAGATTAAATAACCAGTAATATTTCAAATAAAAAGTCATAAAAATTATAAATCATATTCAATCATATAATCATAGTCCCATGTAATTAATTCTTGTTGATCTTCATCTTTTGTTAGCAGTTTTATGAATCCAGTTTTTCCTTAGAGTTCTGTAAACTTTTTCCCAGTTCAGTTTTATGATCTTAATTGGTAAATTTCTAGAGATTTAGATATCCTCCTCTTCCCAGTGCAGCAAAGGAGACACCCTTAAAAACAGAGATTTCTCTTACAAATATGAATGTATTTTACAAAGGGTAACTTCTATTTGTTTTTCAGAGCTCCTCTCGTGTCTGCTGTTTCTTAAAAAAAAAGCTAGCCTAAAATAATCCTTATGCCAAAGAGACATATTCTGGGGTAGCAAATTCTCCTCCCCTACATTACCAATGAAGAAACTGAGGCACAGAGTGGTCACAGAGCTCAGACTAGATCCCTGACCTTTTCTCACTCCCTAGCCTTTCTAAGATCCTGTTCTGCCTTGGGGAGATAAGCTTCCTTAATTTCTACGGCATTAAGGATTCTAACATAATTTTTAAAGATTTTATTTATTTATTTTTCCCCCCAAAGCCCCAGTAGATAGTTGTGTGTCATTGCTGCACATCCTTCTAGTTGCTGTATGTGGGACGTGGCCTCAGCATGGCCAGAGAAGCGGCGCGTCGGTGTGAGCCCGGGATCCGAACCCGGGCCGCCAGCAGTGGAGCGCGCTTACTTAATCGCTAAGCCACGGGGCCGGCGTAACATAATTTTTAAAAATAGTTATTTTAAAGGAGAATATTCTTGTAAAAAGCCTCTAATTGATATAATGAAAAATATCTTCAAATGCTACCCAGAGTCACCACCATCACCACAGCTAAGATTATTTTTGAGTTTTCAGGTTGTTACTTTTCTTCAAGACACTAGACATTTATTTGATATGGAATTAAAATTAACTAGGGCCCCTCCACAGCTTTCCCTCTAGGTTATTCTGCAAAATCACTGATTCTGGCAGAGGTTGGTTGATTGTTTTTATAACAAGTTATAGTATACGGCAGAAATCTATGAAATGGTAGATGACTTGAAAAAACGCAACATAAATATCGCCACCAAATGCTCAAATATTAGGATTAAGGTGCTAATTTAAAATCAGTAAAAGGAGTACAGAATGATTACAAATTATTCCTTTTAACTGGATTAGTGACTTTCAAGATCTCTTGTGATCCTGAAATTCTATAATGATTTTCCAAACAAAATTTACTAGACTTATTATCAAGTCCCTGAAGACACAGTGGTGACACCACAGGAAAAAATGCCTACCTTCTTGATTGGCCTGTTGGCAATATGGTGTAGGGGAGCAGAATTTGCCAGCCCAAGATCTATCTCTTTGGCTTGAGGATTAATTATTTGGGGCTGATTATTTTTAAGAACAAAAGACTCAGGAAGAAATTTTGACCTTCCCCCTAACTGCCTAAAAGAATTTCAGATAGAGAGCCTGTTCCAGGAAGGAGCTATCACCAGAGATAACTATAGTATATGAACTAGGTGTGGTAGACAGGGAGGAACCTAGCAAGGCCCATTTGATCAGAGTCCTCTCCATGTCTCATTGTCTTTGCAAGGCACTGCAAACATTTGTTTACCAAACATTAACTCTTTCATCTTCCTATAAATTGCTTCCTTTCCCTTTGAAGACCCAGACTCCTGGCCCCCTTCTCCTTAGTCCAGAATAATATATGTACCTCATTTTGCCTGACTGTCTTTGGAATTCTTCATGCTTATGTGAATTCCTCGTGCGCACATATGAAATTTTGTTTGGTTTTCTCCTGTTAACCTGCCTTACGTCATTTTAATTATTTGACCAGCCGTAAGAACCAGATGGGCAAAGGGGGGAATTCTCCCCTCCACCACAATGGGTATTTGTGTTTGTCAAAACACATATAAGTGTACACATCAGACTTGTGCATTCTATACTTAAAAGGTAAAAAGAAGCAAAAAATGTAAACAAGAACATAATCAATTAAATTAGTATTTTTTATTGCTATTTTACTTTTTAAAAAATTCAAAAATAGTCTATGTTCACTTTAAAGAATTTAGAAACTATTAATAAAAAAACATTTATTCTTTAGCTACAAGTCTACATAATATACTATAGATGCTACAAATTAAGCCATTTCCCTACTATTTCATAAAAAGTAATAAATAAATGGACACTAAGACATGAATATCATCTTAAAGTAGGAATAACTTCTTGCTAATGTTTTCTTATCTTCTTTTTTTCCGTTTTAGCGAAGGAATGCGGTGGTGTCTTTACAGATCCAAAGCGAATTTTTAAATCTCCAGGCTTCCCAAATGAGTATGATGATAACCAAATCTGCTACTGGCACATTAGACTCAAGTATGGTCAGCGTATTCACCTGAGTTTTTTGGACTTCGACCTTGAAGATGATCCAGGTTGCTTGGCTGACTATGTGGAAATATATGACAGTTATGATGATGTCCATGGCTTTGTGGGAAGGTATGTGCTGTTTCTCCACATAGGAAGTTAAATGAACATCCAATATTTTGTTTGATGTTTCTTTAATTTTCCCGTAGCTGTCCCTATAATATTGATTTTCCAGTATTTCTATCCTCCTGCAACACCATATTCTTTTTTAACAAAGATTTTTCTTAGAATGGTAAGCCAATCAGCTGCTACATGTATTTATTACTAAAATAGTGATAGCTGCCTTTTGATTATTGTTAAGTTGTAACAATTAGTTAAATAGTCTATTTATAAAGACCTCAAGATTTGAATAACAGTATGAGGAAGAAGAGATCAGTGAGTTGGGAAATGTTTTGGAGTTTTAAAGTCTACTAATTTCTGTCAACCTCCCAAAAATAATTATAAATTCAGTAATTGTTGCCTTTCTTCTGTGTACAAAGCATTGTGCTAAGCATTATGGATACAAGGTAAATATAGCTCCTTCTCTCACACAATTTAGCCAAACCTACTATGGATATCTTCTTAAAAATAGCTTTCTTTGCCATAACAAACAAGTGCTCCTTTCCTCAATATTTCTCTCTTAGTTTTTCAACATGCTGGGACACACTATTTTTGTGTTCTCACTATAAATCTTGTTGACGCAAATAATCCATAATCAATCTATAAATCAAAATTGGGGTGAGTTTATTATGAGCCAGGTCTGAGGTCTATAGCCCAGGCCTTCCATCTGTAAGGAAGGAAGGGCACCAAAGAAGTGGGGTGTACAGAGTGGTTATATACCATCTTAGAACTAAAAGCATACATCACATATGACAGGAATATCTCTTTTACTACTGTCACGAGATGCTTAGTCGGTGGTCAGCAGGTCAGTGGTCATAAGGTGAGCACAGCAGGTCGGAAATTAATCCTTAGTTTCCAGGAAGAGATGCTTATCCTTAAAGAAATGCCATTATGAGGGGAAGCTCCATCCCTATACTTAAGGGCATCATTCTTGTCTTTGGGACATAGTAAACATTTAAAGCAGATGTATAGGGCCGGCCCCGTGGCTTAGCGGTTAAGTGCGCACGCTCTGCTGCTGGTGGCCCGGGTTCGGATCCCGTGCGCACACCGACGCACCGCTTCTCTGGCCATGCTGAGGCCGCGTCCCACATACAGCAACTAGAAGGATGTGCAGCGATGACACACAACTATCTACTGGGGCTTTGGGGTAAAAAATAAATAAATAAAATTATAAAAATAAATAAATAAATAAATAAAGCAGATGTACAATGCATGCTCAACAGGCCACATCAGGCCCTCTTGGAAAAACAAGGTCAGGCTGAATTAGTTTTAAACCAAATAGCTTCCTCATATATTCCAACACATCCTATTGCTTTTCATTTATTTATCAATCTTTAATACAGTTTAAATTTTGACAGCCTTACAAAATATTGCAAATTAAAGAGTATACAATTAAGTGTTTTATATATTCAGGTCTCCACTTAATAATGCGTATTTTAGACTATCCATTATTAATAGACTATTAGTTATCAATTCTCTATTATCTGTGACAGTAATTTAATGAAAGAACATGGGAGTGGGGACAATTAAAAATAATAGATTCAATAGCTTTTTATGTTGACTTTGAAATGTGTAACTTAAATACAAAGAAAAACAAAGGCATTTCTTGCATAAACAAACAATTTTTGGAGGATAATTATTTTTTGTTTTGTTTTGTTTTGTTCTTTGGCTGAGACTACTGCTATAGAAAAAAATACAAATAGTTTTCAAAAATAGTTTGAAGAAGACATGAAGTAGGGTTAGCGATATTAAAAACAAAGTCTTTTTTGAAAAAATGAACCTCCTAGATTGGTAATTAAGATGACATTTTTATTCTAAACCTAGTTTCAGAAATCAACTACAGCCCTAAATAAAATCATAAACTATTTTTTAAGAGGTTTTTTTTTTAAATTTTTTTAAATTTATTTTTTATTTTTTTCCCCCAAAGCCCCAGTAGATAGTTGTATGTCATAGCTGCACATTCTTCTAGTTGCTATATGTGGGACGCGGCCTCAGCATGGCCGGAGAAGTGGTGCGTCGGTGCACGCCCGGGATCCGAATGCGGGCCCCCAACAGTGGAGCTTGGGCACTTAACCACTAAGCCACGGGGCCGGCCCCTAGGAGGTTTTCAACATGCTAATTTGTTATTAGTTGGATTTATATTGTGTGATTTACCTTTATAATAGACTTTCCCTTCCTCTGGAATATTACATTTTCAGAAACTGACAAAACCCTTACCTTTTATATAATGTGCAAGGGAGTTCAAGTCATGATTCAGATAAAAATCAAACCCTCTTATGTCTATCAGGTCCAAGGTAATTTCTCCACTTTTAAATCAGTCTACTCTAGAATTCAGAATATTAATACCAAAAACCATACACCCATTCTTCTTTGTGAAGAAAATGTTATGAGATTAATCAGATTTAATTTTTCCAAATACATTCAAATTGTCCACTACACAAATAGTTTTCTAAGTTTTGACAGAGTAGAAATGTCACATAGGGCCGGCCCCGTGGCTTAGCGGTTAAGTGCATGCGCTCTGCTGCTGGCGGCCCGGGTTCGGACCCGGGCGCGCACCAATGCACCGCTTCTCCGGCCATGCTGAGGCCGCGTCCCACATACAGCAACTGGAAGGATGTGCAGCTATGACATACAACTATCTACTGGGGCTTTGGGGGGAAAGAAAATAAATAAAGAAAATCTTTAAAAAAAAAAAAAGAAATGTCACATATCATTTCTTAAGAAACTCATTAATACTGAGAGAAGGTTATTTCAGACAATGTTTTAACCACTCTTTCCCCTTAACAAATTCAAGTAAAAAACACACACACAGTGGTGATGGATTGTAACTAGTATTTGGGTGGCGAACATGAGAACGTGATGTAATCTACGCAGAAATACAAGTATAATGATGTACACCTGACATTTATACAATGTTATAAACCAATGTGACCACAATAAACAAAAAAAAATTAAGAAAAAGAAAATGGAGGACAGTTTTAAAAATTAGACACAATATATGTAAATTGCTTAATACATGACCTGGTAAATGCAATAAAATAACATTTACTACAAATACAAAAAAACACCAAACACACACATGCACAATAAAACATTGCAAAATAACAGGAAAACGAGCCATTACTTAGGGGAAATAAAGCACTTTGATTCTCGGTAAGAGCCACCTACAATAGCTGTATAATACTCATTCTTGTGACCTCTCCTTTTCAAAACTTCCCTTTCAGATACTGTGGAGATGAGCTTCCAGAAGACATCATTAGTACAGGTAATGGCTCTGAATTGAAGAGCAAAACTATGATCTGTTTCCTCAGTGTCACTGTAGGTGAAGGACCCAGGAGTTATTACTATTTACTTTTTAAAGTTGAGAGAACTGAGGACAAGTGTAGCTTGCTAGCTTGTACAACGCAAAGCAGTGTTTATTTACACTTAAAGAAAGGTTTATGCCAACTCCTTGCACTAAAAATGTGTAGACTCTGGTTATTTGCAGAAAATGCAGTCTGAGATAGTCATGAATCTGCAAACCCATGAATACCGCTCTAGCTTATGATTTCCATAAAATGTGGTAATAAAAGGCCGAAAGTTTTCCTTGATAAAGGATTGAAGTAATTTATAAAGTTGTTAAAAATACTTTCTTCCACTGAAAAAATTTTACATCGTTGGGGCCGGCCCAGTGGTGCAAGTGGTTAAGTGCGTGCGCTCCGCTGCACTGGCCCAGGGTTTGCCAGTTCAGATCCGGGGCGCGCACCAACGCACCGCTTGGCAAGCCATGCTGTGGCAGTGTCCCATATAAGGTGGAGGAAGATGGGCATGGATGTTAGCCCAGGGCCAGTCTTCCTCAGCAAAAAAAAAGAGGAGGATTGGCAGATGTTAGCTCAGGGCAGATCTTCCTCAAAAAAAAAAAATTTACATCGCATTTATAGCATTTTTATCTTAGTACAGCATTCCCCAGAGACTGTTATAAAGAACGCAGTTCTATGAGATGTTCTTAATAGGTGTTACATGAGAAAAGGGCTCTAAGGTCAAGTAAATTTGGAAGACATTGGGTTAAACAATGTTAAATAGGTTTCTTTACTGGAAGATGTCAGAGAGCTTTTAATATGGTAATTATGCATAGTAAATCTCAAAAGGCTAGCTATAGTAGGCGTAGGTGATGTTTTCCAAATCTTTTTCCTCCTGTAAATTGTGTTACCTTGTTCCACGAAATGGACCTCGAGAAATGTCCTTGTACTACCATAAAATTTATCTCAATAAGCAATACCACTGCTATTGTCCCAAACTGCTATTTTCTGGTTAAGAACCTGTACTGTCTTAGATATCTTCATTTTTCCTCTTTATTTCCGTCACCAGCATTAACAGTTGGCATTCTACTTGCTCTATTTTCTTGCGTCATAAAATTATCACAATGCGTCTGCAGCTAAAAACAACAAAGCTACACTGAGCTGCAATCTCTAAACAGTCCTTAAAACTCAGAAACTACTAGCTAAATTACTCCCTCATCCTAGCCTTGTAGCCCACGCAAGTCTCATTTATGCCCATTATTACAAGAGATGGAACTTCTTGTTCAATCCTTGAATGAGTAACGCTTAAAACTTATCATTTCATTACTCTGTTACAATCTCCCTAGGAAGGGTAACCTATTAAACCTTTTGTTTCTCTCTTATTCTTTTCTTGAGAACATATTTTATGTTAACAGAAAGTTAAAAGAGAGACATCTTATGAAGCGTAGGAGGTAGCTGAGGGATGAGAATCCTATTAAAAAAAAAAAAAAAGGAGAGCCAAAAAGAAGCCTGAAACTTGGACATTTTTCTTGTTTTGTCTACAACAAACAAAACTTACTCTAGTGTAATCAAATCAGCGTTTTTCTTGCACAACTGCAAGAAACTTAAAAAAGAAAAAAACCCACACAATTTATTATTCAAAGAGAAACAACTCCACAAACAGAAAAGAACATGAATTAAACAAAAAACCCAAAGATTTAGCAAAACAGCAAGAAGAGGAAATTGTTACAAGTAATAGAAAAAGAAGACATAAAATACATTTAAAGTATAATCCTATTAGTAAGCCTAATGCTGTTAACATTTTGATCGAGTTTTCTTAAATATGTGCTTACTCTCCCCAGGATATTTATATTAAAAAACAAGAGAGGGGCCAGCCCCGTGGCTTGGTGGTTAAGTGCGAGAGCTCCGCTACTGGCGGCCCGGGTTCAGATCCCGGGCGCGCACTGATGCACCGCTTCCCCAGCCATGCTGAGGCC